TATGATTCTATGATTCTATGATAGGTCACCCAGGTCCTGGACCACAAGGAGTATGTCATCAGCATACGCTGACAGGACCACACACAACTCTGGCTCATGGAGCACCCATCCTGTTAACCTCCTACAGAAGAGACGGAGGAAGGGCTCAATGGCCAGAGTGTACAGCTGACCTAACAGTGGACATCCTTGACACACCGTTCGCCCGAAGCTGACAGGTTCGGTCAAAGTCCAGTTGAGTCTGACCAAACATTCCATAGAGGCATACAGGACCTGGAGAAAACCCACAAACCGAGGCCTGAAGCTGAATGCCCGCAGAGTGCCCTGGAGATAATCATGTTCCACTCTGTCAACCGCCTTCTCCTGGTCAAGGGACAGGAGGGCAAACGACAGACTATCCCTACACCCGCGCTTGAGGAGGTCCCAGACCAGATAAAGATTGTCGAAGATAGGATGGCCCGGTATAGGTCTGGTCGGGATGGACCACATCCGCCAGCATGGACCCCAGCCACAGCAAGATGGCCTGGCTGTGACCTTGTAGTCCATGCTGAGGAGCGAGATGGGACGCCAATTCAGGAGGTCATGGCGGTCCCCCTTCTTTGGTAGCAAGATGAGTACAGTTTGCCTGCATAACAGGAGAGGCACCCCACTTCCTAAGGACTCAGCCCAGATGATGGCAAGGTGCGGACTGAGGACATCCCAGAACACACGGTAGAATTCCACGGTCAGCCCGTCCATACCCAGAGATTTATTAGTGGGCATCTGATGGAGGGCTTCTGAGAACTCAGTCAGAGTGAGAGGCAGCTCCAGCCAGTCCTGGTCACCTGGACTCTATCCCAGAGCACCCTGCAGGCATCAGTGTGGATTGGACCAGGGAGAAGAGTCTGGAATAGAAGGTCTTGGCCCTCACATGCATCTCCACCGGATCCCTGAAGGGGTGCCATCCTCTGCCAAAAGGCAGGTGACATGCTTCTTAGCCCCCTTCTTTTTCTCCAGGGCGTAGAAGAAGTGGGAGCCGCAATCCATCTCCCAAAGGAAATGAATGCGGGATCGAACAAAGGCACCTTGAGCCCAATGGTCTTTGAGGACCCGGGGGAACCAACAGCTGAGCCACTGCTTTGTACACTTAATTCCCCCCACAGGGTGGACCTGACAGGGTCTAATTAGTGGATTAGAATGGGCTGGGGGAGGACTAATGAGCAAATTGGCTCATTAACGCACGAGATAGAAAAAGGCACAGGAAGGCAATGCAGGGGAGAGAAAGGCAGACTAGCAGAGCCAAAACCAGGAAGGATCTCTGAGTAGAGAGATCCCTTCCCTCTCCTCAGAGAACTGAGGAGAAACTGAAACTGTAAATAATTATGGTGCATGGATCAGTAAGGGGATAGGAATAACAAATGCAAATAAACTGCACTGGGGTGTTTGACAACTTAAGGTCCCTAAGCTGGGGAAGGCCTATCTATAGCTCATGTGAACCTTCTGTTAGGTGGTGTTAGCAGCAACAAGGGCTAGCTTCAATATCTGAGGTAGACAGTAGCTGGGGAGTGCATAGTCAGGTTCCAATGCAGAGTCAGTACAAGGGTGAGAGTCCAAGTCACATTTTGGGGGCCAAGTCACAAGGTGAAGTCCCAATCAAGCTGAGATCGGAGCAGAGAGAAGTCATGGCAGCTACAGAGAATCCATGCTGTTCCCTGGACGCTTCCTGGAATGCCCTTTAGATTTATATAGGATGGGGAGCCAATCAGGAGTCATGGGGCTGCCGTCTGTCAGACCCATGAAGGTGGGACTTCTCATGGTCTGTGTCCACAGCAGGTCATGGGCAGTGGCTGGCAGGATACTACTACCAGTTTGTACCAGGATTCTCAAATGTTGTGCCCTTTCTCAACAATATGCTCAAGAACAGTAGTCTGAGAAAGATCCGTTTGACGGAAACCTGTGAGAAGGTCTTTCAGCCACAAAAGGCTCACCTCTGTAGGGAGCCCATTTTATACAACCTGGACTTCACCAAGAAATTCCTCCTACACACTGATGCTTCTGAAGCTGGATGGGAGCTGTCTTCTCCCAAGGGGTTGATGGTGAGGAACATCCCATTCTGAGTTACAAATTGTTCCCAAGAGAGGCCTACTCCATTATAGAAAAAGAGGACTTAGCTGTGAAATGGGCCATGGAGGCACTCCAATATTACCTTCTTGGCCATTAATTCACCCTGGTCGTGGATCATGCACCTCTACGATGATTCCATGCCATGAAGCACATCAACCCCCAACTCATGGTGATATCGCTCTCTCCAGATCTTTTCCTTCTATGTCTGGCATAGGACTGGGTTGCTCACTGAAATGCAGACTCAGTAGAGGGGAGCTGAAGTGTAAAGCAGTGCCCTAAGTAAGATCCTTTTTCTCTATGTGTGTGTATGTGTGTGTGGGTGGGTATGTGGTGTGTGGGTGGGTGCGTGCATGGGATTGGTGGGGGATGAGGCAAATAGGCCTGGCAATGAGACGGTTAATGAAAGCCAGTGGATCCACCTCACTATACTTCAGCAAATGTTGGGCATGGGGAGCGAGGACTGGAAATGTTGCTCGGAAAGCAGAGGAGAAGTTTTTTGGGCAGAGCGATGGGTGGAAAGAAGCTTGGAACTGTGAACAAAGAAAATACCTCCTGTTGTTTGATTTCTGCTGTCTTCAGAGTAACAGGACTTTGTGTATATTCTTTGTAAACTAACAAGATTGCATCAAAGAAATACTTTACTCCATATCAGGTTCTCCTAATGGAAACAACCCACAAGATCCTGAATATCCGATTAGGTCAAAAAGCAGTAACAATACTTACAGAAGGGAGGCTTTGCATGTACATTATAGATGCTGGGGCATTTTGTGTTTTTTCTGGTACAAATTTACATCCAGCTTCATACAGCTTTGTCTGTTGATCATATTCACATTCTCTTGTCGTGCAGCTGTTTCCTGTGCAGCTTTGGACTATATATTTACCAGTGATATCAGCCGAACATCTGAAGGAAGGTGAGATAGAAAGAGGCTTAGCTAACAAGCCACATATAATCAACAAATAATAATCTGTTATTTATTATTTGAATCGTGGTAGGCCCAAAACCTCCAAACATGATTGGCATTAGTTAGACACCATGGGCAGCGGGTGAACCACGGACTTGGGGAGGCTAGCCCCCCAACCGCCCCATTCCTTCTGCCTGGGGCCCTGCCCCTCCTGCTCACGTTCCCCCCCTGGAGCCCAGAGGCTGGAGCGCCGAGTGGGCGGGCAGCACCGCCCACCCCTCAGCCCCAGAGCGGCAGGCAGGCAGACAGGCAGGCAAATGAGCGCGGACCCCAGCGCAGTAGGCAGGCAGCACGCCCCACCCCCGCTGGATAGGCAGGTGGGTGGGCGGCACGAGCACCAGCTCCAGCCGCTTGGAGTTCCTGGCTGCAGGCCAGCCCCCACTAGCCCCAGCCTGGGGCAAGGGCCCTGAAGCCCTCCCAAGTGTGGGAGGTCCAGAGGCTCCCACCCAAGGTGGAGGCAGAAGCAGCCCCTGCTCGTGTCACAGGCCCCACACCCAGGGCAGGTGGAGGGACCCAGGCTCCCCACAGCCTCCCGTGCAGCTCTCCCCAACCTTGCTCTGGCCAGGGTGCGGGGCCTCAGAGCTACAGCCTGGCCATGATAAGAGCCGGGTGGGCAGCTGTGGGCAGGTGGAGGGTCTGTGGCTCCTCTTACCTGCCTGTGCGGCTCTTATCATGGCCAGGCTGCAATTCTGAGTCCCCCCCACCCTGCCCTGGCTGGAGCTGGGTCGGGGAAAGCTGTGCGGGCAGCTTTAGAGAGCTTGCCTGGAGTCACAGACCCTCCTCCTGCCCTGGGCAGCCGGGCAGGGGGGACATGGTTCGGGGGCTGGTCTCAGCTCCCCCCATCCCCACCTGCACGCCGGGCAGGTGGAGGGTCTGCCACGGCTCCACACAGCTGCCCGGGCTCCCCAGGTGGACTCCATGCTGGCCTGACCACAGGGTGGGGCTTGAGGGAGGAAGAGGAGGGGAAGGGGTGGGTTCCTGGTTCACTCCTGGTTCCGGCGCCACTGGCCCAAGGCCCCGGCCACACGAGAAGAAAGAGCCACAGCAGAGCATGGCCAGAAGCAGGAGGGGGTCTATGGGAGGAGTGTGGGTGGGGCCACGCAGGCAGTTTGGGTAAGCTTAGCTTCCTGCCTATAATATCCGCTGCCCATGTTAGACACCATCTCTGCTCTAAAGACTTTACAATCAAAATTATTTATAGGTTGTGTGTGAAACACCATCTATGTGAAGAATAACAGTGCAAGTGCCTCCACTATTCCATCGATATGCCTCAATCCAGACATGAAGGACCCTCGCCTGAGGTGAGCTGGTACTACACTCTCCATGCTTGTTCAATTACTGTCTCTGGGACAGAGTTCTAGGGCTAGAGCTCACCCA